TTTTTTTTTTTTTTTTTTTTTTTTTTTTTTTTTTTTTCCTGGTTTGAAGGGAAAAAACTTTGTTACAGCAAATTATCAGGCAGAGTCTTTTTTTTATTGTGCTTGCTCTATGTGAGTATAACCAAACTGACCAGCAAGTTTGACTGTAGGAGAACCAGATCTCACAGGGCCCTGTTTCTGGGACTGAGCTTCTTTCTGTCTAGAGACAGTAGAATGTGTATACTGCTGCAAATCCTGCAGTTTGTATACATATGCATAGAATAGCTGCTCTTGATATACAGCTGAAATGTAAAATGCTGTAGTGAGGCTTTTCTTGATGCTTGGAGAAGTGGATCCCTGGAGAAGTGACTGCTATATGTGAGCCAAGCAGATGAAGCTGTGATATGAGGAGGATGGGAGAAGTAGCTGGAGCCAGGATGTGCGCAGACCTTGAGTTCAGAGAAATCATGGAAGTAGCAAGCCAGGATTCTGTCTGTGGGACTGCTGGAGGTGCTGGTTTTGGACACTGACGAACAGAAAAATCAACCAGCCTTGCAAGGTGGATGATGACCAGACTCCTGCTACAATTTGCTTGCTCAGCAGGCAGTAAAGTGCTCTATTTGCATGGTTTGCAGCCTGGAAATGAAGCCCTATTTGAAGCAGAGGTCTTGAGCAGGAGCAGATGTGCTGCTGCACTGTAGATGCCTGTATTTCATGGCTGTGAGCTTCTGCAGCAATGCTGCTCTTCCTGGCTGATCTGAAATGTCCAGCCATACACGCACCTTGCATGTTGTAGAGATAGTCTACCTCCCTGTGAAAACTATCAAAGCTTTCAAGCTCTGAAGGTTTTTATTATGTTAGAAGCACTAACTTGCCTTGTAGATTAAGAACTAATAGCTTAATATAACCCCGTGGAGATGGCACTTGTAAGAGTGGTTACTGCATGGTACCTCATTGAGATCAGTGCCAGTTGCATGCAAAACAAGCAACAAAAGCAGCTTTGTATCAAAATAGTTTATTAAAAACAGTAAGACTTCACTGAAGCTTGCTGTCTCAAACAGAATTGACATATTGCAGTATTCAACACAATCATAATCCATATATAAATATAATACTGTATAGATCCTGTTCACTATGGCTGGGTTTTGCCCTCTGCCCAGCCTCATGCAGCCCTGCTGCCATGCCCAGACCTGCAGGCTCAGCTGCATAGCCCATTCCTTCTGGAGCTGAACTGGCTGTCCCCTCCTTGCACAGCAGTGAGGATGGAAGTAGTGCCTGCAAACCACACACAAACCCAGTACATCTCTTTGCAGCCTGTGTCAGCTTAAACAAATGGCGTTGAAACACCAAGGAACTGATGACAGCAGTACTGGTTGATGTTCAGGAAAAAAACCCAGAATCTATACATGACTCAAGTTCCCAGCACCGCTCAACTGCACAGACATGTGCTTCTGCTTGCAGAAGGGCAGCTCTGTGCTGACCTGGTGCATAACACCACGGCTGTGACAAGGAGTGTGTCACACAGCACAGCTTAATTTGATGCATAGAGGCACCTTTACTGCAGCACTCCAAAAAGAGCATCACCAGCCTGGTGCACTGCTGCCGGCCACAAATGCCTTCCAACAATGTCCTTTGCCACCAGCTTTGCACCAAGTCAATATCAGTCCTTACGCTGTGGCAAACCAACTGAGTGCACCCATCTCAGTCTCTCAGGTCAGGATGCTGCCAAGCCAGCTCGGTTCCTTGGTAGCTAAGAGTCATCTCCTTGCTCTGTACTCATGTCCCCTGGGCAGCTCTGGTGATGGGAGGCTTCTTGCACAGCTCCTGATAGAACTCTGATTCCAGAAACCGTGGGTATGAATTGTTTTCCATGAGGCTGTAAACTCTTTTCTGTGCAGCACTGAAGCAGCTGTGTGTGGCTTCCTGGAGGTTCTGTGCTATCATGTTCTTGGTCTGGAAGTCAATGTTTATCTGAAATGCAAAGAAAGGACACTCACTTTCCAAGAACTGAATCCCAACAAGTATAGCACTTCTGAGGAGGATAGGAGTGCTTTTGCTTCAGGGCTAAATTGATGTAGTTTCTTTTAAATGATTTATTATGAAAATTTGGAGTAACTCAGGTATGCTGTATTTTGGTGCCAAACCCAAGTGTTACAGGTGTTTAACAAGGCTGAATTTTTTTCCCCCTCAGCTAAGATGAAAACTGAAATACAGATTGTGCCATTTTCCACCTTGGTGGAAAGAAGGCAGTCAGAGAAGTGTTATGCACAATGCATTTGTGGCATCTGTGTCTTACAAGTCCAGAGAAATGAAGTGGGGCTAAAGACACACAACAGGGCAATGCTTCTGTGCTTTCCTTACCTCCTTGGGAGCCTCCTTTTCAATGAAGTCATTGTAGATCTTCTTTGCCTTCAGTGTCAGCTTCTGAGGGGATTTGGTTTTTTTGAAGTCCTCACATGCCAGCCAGAACTCGATGTTCTCTTCACAGAACTCAGACTTCAGAAAAGCTCGGAAAGCAGCAACACCATCTAGGGAAAGGAGAGGGGGGGAAAGAAAAGCAAAACCACATCAATTAAGTATTCCAGGCATCTTGAATTTCCAATTTGTCACATCTGTTCCTAACAAAATATTTTGCTGTAGTTCTGGTCCTTTCTGAAACATCAAGGCAATAAGAAATCTACATTGCATGCAAATTAACACCCCAACAGCTTGGCAGGCTTCAAGTCAGCCAATTTTATGTAAACACAAAACTGAAAGCTGCTTCTAGTCACTATGTACCCTTATGATACCTGCAGATATGCTACACAAGATCTCTATATGGGATCATCCTCATTAACCTTTATGCTGGAGCAAATGCTTCTGACAGCACGACAAACCCCTGGAACACTTTTGCAACGGGAAGGATGACTCAGTAGTTCAAAGAGCAAATGGCAATATCAGCTCTTAGTCTTTACTGCAGTGCTGTTGAGTGCTTTTCTCCCAGCAAAAATCCTCCCCATTAAAAATAATAATAAATCAGTGGACTTCTGCATTGCAGAATTGTTCTTGAATTATAAGAATGGATTTGTCTTGTATAGAGAGCAGTGAAGAACAGTGCTTGGCACTTCTGGCAAAGCCAGGCTGAATAGGTAAGGTTGAACTACAGAGATTACAGCTGCAATACTCCATAGTGGGGAGTTTTAATGTTTTAATATTACTTTACAGAGAAATGTACAGTGCTGACATGCAGGGAAGCAATTGCTAAACAACACCAGGTTCTCCCCTGTTTTGTTCTTAACCACTACAGCCTGAAGACCAACTTACATTTGTTAGCCAGCAGTTCATCAAAGGCTTCTGACCACAGCCGGGCTTCCTCAGGGGAAGGTCTGTGTGAGGCAGAGAAAGAGCAGAGAACGTGAGAGCACTGCTTGAGGTTTGCTGCTTATTTTGTACAGAACTTGAGTTATCTACTGCCACAACTCACCTGAAGTAGGTGTGGTGTTTGCTCGCTTTATTGGACTTCATTTTGCTAGAGCGGGAAGAATTCTGCAGGAAGTAGCTCAGCTTCTTCTTCCAGTCCTTAATGCTGGAAGAACAAAGACACCCATTTACAACGAAGCCGTCAGCCACCGACCTCACCCCGCTACCGAGAGCCGCCCTCGGGCTGCGAGCAGAAGAGAGAAACCCTTCCGTTCGGTACCACTCACATGGTGCGCTTCATCATCCTGCCCTTGTCCGCCTCCTCCAGCTCCGCGCGCCGCCGGCTGCCCCGCTCCATCCGCCCGCCGTCCTGCGGCAGCGAAACGAACACGGCGCTCTGCATCGCCCCGCTGCCGCCCGGCTGCTGCGCGCCCCATATAGAGCCCGCGCCCCGCCCCGCGCACGGCCCCGCCCCGCATGGCGAGGCGCTTCCACATTGATTTATTCTTTTTTTTTTTTTTTTTTTTTTTTCCCCCTTTTCATCCCCAGAGCTCCTTTTCGCTTTACTCTTTTCTTCCTCTCTCTGCTTTCTTTTTCCCCCCCCTCCTCTATTTTTAAATAACTATTTTCTTTCTCTCTCTTTTAAAAATTGCTTTCCCGCTCTGTGTTTAAACCTCTTTTTCTTCGGTTGTTCCCTACACCCCTCCCTAGGCGCCGTCCCGTTTTGCAGATTTGGGTCTGTAAAGGCCACAGGCTTCTGAACAGAGAAGAAATGGAGAAGGGTGGGCCCATTTATTTAAAAAACAGAAACGAACCAACAACAACACGAAGTGACCATAAATTTGAGCATGCCGTTTCCCTGCCGCCCGCCGTTCCCCCTGCCGACCCCGCCGCACCGCGCAGCTCGGCTGCTCCCCGTCGTGCTGCCCCCTACCGGCCGCTCGCGTCACGACAGTATCCCAGGTGGGAGCTTGCCAAGGAGAAGCATGTGTGAGGATGAGAAAGAATGGCTTCGTGTTGCAGCAGAGGAGGTCCAGGTTAGGTATTAGGAGAAGTTTATTCTACAACAGAGTGGTGATGCAGTGGCAAAGGCTGCCCAGGAAGGTGGGGAGGTCATCATCCCTGGACCTGTTCCAGAATTGAGGAGTTATGGCACCGAGGGAACATGGGCTGGAGTTGGACTTGGAGAGGTCTTTCCAACCTTAGTGGTTCTAAGGTGACTTTTGTTATGCCTTTAAACAATGGGGGGGGGAAAAAAATAGCATTCCGGGCTAAAATATCAGAAAAACACTGAATACATCCCTGGAGGCATTCAAGGCCAGGCTGGATGTGACTTTGGGCAGCCTGGTCTGGTGGCTGGTCACCCTGCACATAGCAGGGGGTTGAAACTAGGTGATCACTGTGATCCTTTTCAACCTCATGAATATGGAATTGTGAGGTGAGATGGCCCGATAGAATGTACTTGCTATAACATCTTGTTTAAAAAAAATACTTAGATTGAATTTTATTGTCTGCAATAATATTTATTTTAAGTTTACATTTTTATTACACTTCTAAAGCAAGGCTATTATTCATGTTGGTTTTTTTTTGTTTTTTTTTGTTTTTTTTTTTTTTCCAGTGAAGAAACTACCCCAAATAGTTTCTTGCTGCATCATGCTGTGCTGCGTGCTTTCTGGTGGTGACCCTGACCTTTGCTGGGATGGTAGTTAAAACATTTATGTGACAGAAGACGTTTTCTGTGTATGACTTCAAAAAACAAGGGGAAAGCATCTGACATCAAACAACACCGTCAGTGCTGCCGACATCAGGTGAGCTAGGCAGGTTGTACCAGTCTGCTTTTGGGATGGCAGAGGAGCTTGGTTCCACGGGCAATGCCATATACAGGCAAAGTGAGGGAGAACCTGCATCTATGCTGAGTCTCACACTGCCTATTGCTGATGGTATTTTGAACATTCCCATTGAATCTGATGGTGCTGCTTTCCAGACAATGCTCAGTGAATGGTGCTGCCCCCAACTCATCCTCACCTACTTGGGGTGCATTGGCCTCTGTCTGTTTGCACAGCAAAGCTAAGGGCTGCTAAAGGTGTAGTGCCAAATCTTTTCCTTTATGTGCTTCTGAGGACTTAATCTATTCCTGTAACTGTAATCTTGCTGTAAAAGAGCAAGGCCAATGGAAAGTGGGGGGGTGAGCCTGCAGCCCAAACTTGCTGCTCAAGTCAGTGAGAATTTAGCTATTGCCAAGAAATGAAATCTGATGTCGGGCATTAATGACACAAGCTCTCACCCTGGAGATCACACTTCTCTTTGCAGAGGCTTTCTTGAGAATGTTCTGTTCTTTTTCTGCTTATACGATTCCTGCTAGCAGCAGCGATAGCGAGATGCACAGAGAGCTGTAACATATGCAATAAACATCCAGGGTAGAAGATGAGTTTTTTTCCATCTTAGTTACGTTATGTGTTGCAATAGCTGTGCTGATCTTTTCCAAGTCCCTGGAGAGCAGTCATTCTCACTGCATAGTATTTAAATCTATGTCTGCATTTACTAAAATGCCAGTCCTTGTTTCTTCTTTTTATAGAGAAGACTTGGAGGATAGGAAAGCTAGTATAGCTAACAAAACGTCACCTTCAAAAGAAGGAATAAGGCATTAATTTATTACAACTGCCACTCTTTCTGATATGTCTGTGTGCAAGAGAAGATGTTTACTCACAGCATTAGCCTGCCTCTCATTCTGTTATTTGCATCCTGACCTTCCAGTCCTTCTTAGAGCTCCAGCAGTATGCAGTGTGTGTGACTGCTGGCTTTATAGCTGCCGTTCGATGAATTGCTGGAGGCTTGCTGAGGTCAGCTTGTTGCTCCCTGACGCATGCTCTGCATGATTTTCCAGTCGTGAAGCTGCAAACCTGCAAATCACAAGAAGTCATTTCGGGGCCTAAATTTAGCACTGTTGTGGCCCAACACTAAGACTCATCATCTTCAGCTGTTAGCCACCTTATTTTACATAAACAGTCATGGGAGTTTATAAAACTTCTAAAAATAGAGCTGAAATTTAACAAAAAGTGGATAAACCAGGACAATATGCCTTCTTGCAGCATTGCTGTTATGTGGCCTTATACATCTGTCACAAAGAATAACAATTTGAATTCAGGCTTGAAGGAGCAGATTCTGATTCCTCCTCCACCTACTGAGGTTGGGAAATCTTGGCTTTCAAATGTGAGATGGTCAATGACAGGAGCTGGGTGCTGCCCTACTGGTGGGAGATTTGCTTCATCCCTCTGGAAGCAGCAGCTGAGCAGAGCCTGCTGAAACCGCCTGCCTTGCAAAGGACAGGACATTCTCATATCCCTTACCTCTTCTGTCAATATTGAAAACAAACAGCTTAGCAAGAAGCATGTATTTTTTAACAATGAAATTTTTTTTGCAGGCACTGAGTTACACCGTCTGGGCTGCAGAGATGCGATTAATCTTGTTTGCTGTTAACCAGGTGATCCAAAACAGTGTCTCTGTGTTTTGTTGGTATTGCAGTCTATTTGTTCTCCCCCACCTCCCTCCCCCCCCATCCTGCCAAAGGCCATATTTGTTAACTGTGCGTGCAGAGAGATGATGAACAAGCAAATATGTTTGTTAAATCTGGATGTGGACATTGTCATGTTATTTGTGAGGAATGCAGTCAGTGCACGGTCCTTTTGATGATTATTTAAGTTAATGAAACTCTCTTTAAGTGCATAAATGGCATTAGTCAGACAGTGAGCTAGAAAGTCCCTTGTGACTTATAAATCAATCCATTCCTCCTCTGCTACAGGTGAACGCAGTCAGGAGCACAACAGTGAGCAAGCTGAAGATTAGGGAGGAATATGAAGAAAATTTGGAAGGTTTGAGTTTTTGAAAACTAATATTTCATCTGGACTGGAGAGCATCTGAGTGAGGACCTGAAGGAAGGATTCCTGCCCAGCATAAGTGGTGCCACTTTTATCCAGTAGCATCCTGACCTATTCCCATAGAGAAGGCAATGAGACAAGTCAGTGGAAGATGTATAGAGGGACGTTTGCCAGCTTCCAACAACCCTCCTGATTGGTTCAGGAGCACAGTGAAGAGGTGAGAGCATAGCAAAGAGGTGAGGCTGTGGCTGGGCCTGGACAGGGAGTGCAGAGTGCCTCAGCCTGGGAAAGAGTCACAGGTGAGTAGCTTGGCACATTAGTCACTCACTTAATGCTAAGCATTGCAAAACAGTGCTTTAATCCTGCAGCTGAAGTGCAGTAGTTGGAAGCAGGTGCATTGTTCTCCTGGAACACTTTTCTCATCAGTTATTTGTTCAGCACTCAGACAGGTCTTCAGAAGAAAGCGGCTCAGAGCTGACTCCAGGTGAGTCATCCTGTGTGGAAATTAAGGATCCAAACTTTTAAATTGTGTCATTTCTTGCATTTAAAGGTAAATTAAGCAGGTAAAGCTCCCCGGAAATCAGTGAAGCAGTGCTCTGCTGTTGCTCCAGCATTAGACCTCCTCAGTGCATCACTGCCATAGCAGTCACATGTGACGGGTAACTGTGCACTAAGCCACACAAACTCTGTGTTGTTTATGGTGTTGGCAAACAGCAGCACAGGACTGCACACTTCAATAGGTTGTGCTCAGAAGCCTAAAAGGCTGCATGTAATTTGACTGTGTTTTGACAAGCTGTACTAACATTGGTGGTGGTTGGCTCAGGTAGGAGCTCCCCAAAGACTGAATGCAGTGTCACTGATAAATGAGAGCAAGAAACCTGAATTAAGGTTAAGCTTAGGTCCTCCCACTTGCACAGAAGGGGTCTAAAGGTTTCCCATGACTATCTATGGATGCTTTTTTTGATCTCTTGGTGCAAACTGGCTGATCAGTGTCCCCTTCCTGGCTGCTGTTTGGAGAAGAGCAGCTGCCACACATCAGGTGCCTGTGCTGTGATGTTAGCTGTGATTTCACCTCATCCTTTGACCTTTCCCACTACCAGAATCTTTTAAAAGTGAAACTGTGTAGCAGCTTCTTAATCCATACTTTGTAATAGGCTTCCTCTCTACATTGTGTGGTATGTGTTCCTCTCAGGTGTGGTGTTCTACAGTTCAGGTTCTGAAATAGTAAGCTTATTGTATAGTTAACATAAAACTGGTGTTTAGTTGCTGCAGATTTCTTATTTTTTAATTATAAATCAAGTTGTTTATTTAATCTCTTTGCTTCAAGTAAGTTTGGCTTTTTGGTAGCTCTCCAACCCAAACTGTTATTTGAAGACTGAGACAACATTCCTGGCAAGACTGGAACTTAGAAAGAAGTAAGGGGCCAAGATGGCTCAACTCTTTGGGATATATTCAAACACAGCAGGTGAATTACAAGAAGAAATTAAAAGAACAAAAACTACACTGAGGAAATCACTCCCTGCCATGTTCTATACCAACATCCAATGCACAACTAATACCAACTGTATCAACTGTCATCCATTTCCTTTGGGTACTGAATGAATAAGTACAATGTCCTCCGTTTATTATGGAATTATTATAGAATTATTATTCTCTTGCTGTATAAATCATTCAGCACGTTTAGTGCAGACAAGTAGAGATGCTGTAATCTGCATACAGTAAGCAGCTATGAGAGATTAATTTCACATGTGCGGACAAGTCTCTGAGGAGTGCAGCGCACTCACTGCAGGAGCAAAAGTAGCTGTTAGTTCTAACAAGGGATTCAATTTAAAAAAATCATGCACGTCTAGAAGCCAAGCAAGGAGAGCAATTGTGCAGATTACTTACTAATTACTAACAAATGTGCAAGCACTTAAAGTTATAAAAGACAGTATAGCTATTGGAAGCTGCCAAGACTTTCAGCATCATTCATTTAAGGGCCAATTCTGACATACCCAGTTCAAACAACTGCTGTTTTGTCATTCTTTCCATCACTCACTCAAAAGCAGCTCTGGGTTTATGCAAGGCACTGTGTTTACTGCAATGGAGAAGATCAGGCAACAAAACATCACAGAAGATGCTTGAGTTTGAAACCTCACATTTCTGCAGCTACTCCAAAGTTGGAGCAGTGCTGGTGCTCAGTGGTGAAGACCCTCAGCACTGGTGCTGGCTGTTCATTGCCTGGCTGATGTCCATCTTTGCTGGACTGAATTTGTGGAATTATGTGCCTTATGATTAATTTCAGCTGCATGGGCCATGTGAGCAGTGTAAATGAGAGTATTACCTTGATGCACACACAGAAAATGACATCTCTACTCTTGGAACTGAAAGAGAAAGTCAGATTGTGTGTGCATGTGAGGGGAGTAGCAAATGGGACAAGGATGAATGCCGTCTCTTTGGTTCATAACGTGGTGCATGCTTGGAGAAACTAGTGAGGGACATCTGCAATGTGCTTTCCTGAGCAGGGAAGAGAGAGGTGCTTTTGTCTGCTGGTTTAACTGTGTGCACAGAACGTATCTGTATTGTATCTTATCTATTTCAGAGAGCAGATAGAAACAGAGAATGAATATATCTTGGTAGCCTGTTTCTTCTGAGCTGTAGCTGCTGCATTTCTGGAAGTATTGCACAGCTGTCCTGTATCCATTATACAGCCTTACTGCTTTGAATAAGTTCCTACTGAATCTCCTGTCTGCCTCGTATCATTTTATTTGCATTTATTAAAACTAGGAAATGTGGAACTGAAATAAAAAGGTTATTTTGTTAGAGCCCATAACAACTAAGCCACCTTTGTTTTCTTTGTGCATTTGCATTACTAGCCCCAGCTCTGTCTTCTGATAGGCTTTTTTTATTACAGTAATGACTGGGAAATCCACCAGCTTATTTCACTAAATCCCCATTTTTTTCTTCCTTGTGGACACAGCACTATTTTGGAAACTGGAAGAAAAAAAAAAAACAGAACATGGAGATCTAACAGCAGACCTCTATTTCCCTGTGCATCCACAATATCCTGCTGTACCTTGCAGAATCTGATGACAGACTCGTGCGGCCAGAGATCAGAACTTGTCTGCTCAACCCCTAAATCACAGTCTATGGCCCATCAGCAGAAAAATATGTTGGACTTTGTTCAAGTTCTACTATTGCTTCTGGCTTTAACCTCTCTCTCTATATATATTTGAACATGTTGGACTACTCAAGTGCTAATCATCAGTTCTCCCATTTTGTGGACTGTGTCATTTCTGTTTGTGTTTCAGTATCATTTATTTATGTAAAAGTGCTGTATCACATTGATGTGGCAGAACTGTAAGAATCAGATCTATTAACACGGTTAACAGATTGCAAGCTGTTAGGTTGCCTGGTGTAGTTCTTGTCCTGTTTGTTTATTTTGTATGTATCAGATTTCTTGGGATGTATACAATTTACCTTCATAGGGGACAGTGATCAACTTTTGCTTAATAGCTAGAATCATAATTCTGGGTTGCTGCTGAAGAAAGGTGATCAAGTTGTATGGTCTGAACACTGCAGAAGAACACCTGTGTGAGATGGAGATAATGCATGTGCAGAGCATGTGATGAGGTTTTTAGATCAGTTTAGTTAGGACTGCATGATGTTTAAGTCAGACATATGGATACTTAATTCTGCCTTGTCTTTTGCATGACCAAGCTCTTATATCTTAGTGGAGTAACAGGGATCCTCTGCCCCTTGTCTAGCATTTTCTTGCCATTAATTAACAGTTCACATAATCAGGGACGTCTCTTTCTGAAGATACATGTAACCTTTGAGCATTTTTCCAGCCATCATTGTACTTATTACACATTTAGCTGTCTGCTAGATACAGTTTCTGCTTTGGAATAGCAACAGTATTTTTTTTAACAAACTTTCTGAAAGCAGGCTCAGATGCACGTAAAATTATCTGTAATTACGACAAAGTGCAGTTTGGACTGGAATATTCTTGGTATGATAACAGCATTTTATGCTTTTAGGAGCTTATAATAATTATAGAGAGAGAGCTGTGACCGCTCTTTTCTGTGAAACCATTTTCAGGTGAGAGCCTCTCTGGAGACAGAAATCCATTTGTGCTGTTTACTGTGCTGCAGTCACCCTCTGCTCAGCCATCACATGGTTGGTTTCCTAGATAAATCAAGCTGCTTTTCCACTGTTCCTTATCTACCATAATAGCATCTTCCATGGCCTTACAAGACCTCCTCCATTTTCTAGGCACACACTTTGTGAAATTCCAAAGCATTTCCATCCTCATGTTTTCTTTATCCTTTTATTTTTTCCTACCTACATTGTCAGTAACTAAAAGAGGTTGCCCTTGAAAAATATTGCAAGTACCTGAGATATTAGGAAAAACAACAACAACAACAACAACAACAACAACAACAAAAAAACAAAAAAAAACAACCACACACAGCACTACTAAGCAATTCCTGCTTGCTGCTTAATTGTAATTCTTTTGGGAATGTCACATTCAGAGAATATAGGGAAGATAAGTCTTCTTTCTTATTTTGTTTCCTGGGCAGATGGCACTTGGTGTTCACTCCTGTTGGCTGGCATACTGTTATTGATGGACAATAGATCTATAAAATTACTAATGAGCTGGAGTGAGGAGAAAGTGCAAAGAAGGAAGATTACAATGATTAAAGGAATAAAACATTTGCATTGCAAAAAGAGAATGGCTAGGACTTTTGAATCCCCTGAAGAGAAGTAGGCAGAGGGATGGTGTGTTCAGGCTTCACAAAATCAGATGGAAGTGAAGTGAAAATTAGACTGGAAACCAGTCTTCAGCCAGCAGGTAGTGGATTTCTAAAACTTGCTTTAACAGAAAACTGCAGAGATGGGGAAATTACCAAAAAGGTTCAGAAGGGGATTTGGTAATTTCATGGGCATTGGGTCCACATGTAGGTGCAGAAAAGGATGAAGACCCTCCAACATGCCAACTACAATTGTGAATGCTGAAGGACTGTGAGAGGAACAGAGCGAAAAATAGTTTGATTTCTTAACTTTCCCTACCTGTCTTCTTTTGGGCACATACAGCTGGGCTACATCAGGCATTACTCTGAGCCTCTGTGGCATTTGGTGTGTCCTTATAAGATTTAGTTATAGCTCAGACCGCAACACAATTAGGACTTAAAGCATTTACCACTGAAAAGCCTACGATTAAGGACCTTGTATACGCACGAGATTTTGTAAGGCTCAGGCCTTATACTTTATTTGGTTAAATAATACCATGAACATTTACATGGCTGTATAAATGTTTCCAGTTAGGGCTGTCAGCTGAGCCAAACTAGAGATTTGAAGTGCCAAGGACTTAGTACATCTCCTTCTAATTTTACCCTGGCTCAAATTGTGTTTAGAAGATGAGGTACAGATAAAAATCAGATAAGCAAAATTATTTAGTGTTCTGTCACTCGTGAAGTGTTTATCAGTTAAAAATAAAAGGTGAGAAAAACGTGATAATCTTTTACAAGAAACAAAGCCATATCTAAAGGCTGGATTAGGAGGCTGTGTTTAATTGACAGGAGATGGTTGCAAACAGTCTACGTTGGATGTTGACAGAGATCTCGTGATGTGTGGCTTGTGCATGCTTCACAAAGAGATGCTACCTGCAGAACAAGAGTCACGCGTTGTCTTAGCAGTAGCTAATTACCTGGAAGATGGGAATAAAAACATGAATGACTAAACTGAGTGCTGGAGCTGTTTGGAGAGGTTCCAGCTGACTGCTTTTCTGTTAGAAAATGCTGATTCTCCCAAATGAAAACACTTTGCTGGAATATGTAGTATCAATGAGGTCATTACTTGTGCTCCTTCCTGGCTGTTCTTCCAATGCGACAGGCTCCTTGGTGGTCTGCCAGGTGGATGGCATAGAGTTGAGCCCTTTGTTGCTTCCTCTGCTGGATTTACAGGGCCTCCTGGCTTGTGTGGCCACCCAGCTCACTGAGCTCTCCTACATGGGGGCACGTAAACCCTGACCATATTCTTTTCAGTTGACAGAGGACCATCTTTTCCTGTGGTCTGAAAAACTGTCTAATGGAATGCAGTAAGCTTCTTCCTTAATTTGTTTACAAAATGGGTCTTGTGGCACAAAGGATGATTTTCACATGCACCAAAAGTGGGTTTCATAGGTGGTCATGTGCATCAGAACTAACAATGAATGTTATTTTGGGGGAAGAAGAAAAACAAAGGGGAAGAGAGACAGAAACAGAAAAGTGAAAAAAAGTCTTTGTAACAACCAGAGAAGAGGTGAGATGTTTCTTTTAAGAGTCTCAGGATTATGCTTTCCTAGTGGTTTTTCATATGTCTGGATGATTTTGTATTAGCCTGGTGGTTCATTAACCAGGAATACTGCATGAGCTATTTTAGTGGCTTTGCAACCATGAATGTACAAAGGGAATGCCAAAGCAGGAACAAACAATGGGGCAATTCTCTCCTTCAGAAAACACTTCTTTATTTCAGTTATAATGCGTGTATGACTTTTTTTTTTTTTTTTTTTGCTCTGAGGTGAACAGTTTCTCCATCAGACAGATTTATTTGGTGCCTGGTAATTTAGATTTGTGTCTAATGGATGTCAAGACTTTGCAACACGCAAGGAAGTAAAAATGTTGAGCTCAGCAAGCCATATTCCAGTCAGAAATGTCAGCTGGAAGCTGAAAAGAGGTATATCACCTCAAGGAGAAACAGAGAAAACACTTAGGATTGTTTATCAAAGCATAAGGGCAAACTGACTGCAATGCTGGGAAATCTGTATTCATCTTTGTCTTTTCTATATGAAAACTATTGTACTAATAAGGAAGGAAGATGGGAATGAGAAAAATAGGGCTATTGCTAGACAATTAATTCTTGCCAAAGAGACAAATATGTTTACAGAACAATGTTTATGCTATGAGAAGGAACAACCATTAGTGACTCTAAACATTAGCCATTCAGTCTCTATAACTCCCAGATGTTCCTGCTGGCAGTGGCCCACTGTTCTTCAGCTCTACCACTTGTGCATCCTTAAAAGGGATGTGGGGTGATGTGTCTTCACTTTGGAGCTAAACAGAGCAAATGGTAATTTGCTTCTGTAGGACATGGTCTTGCTATTGTTCCTCCATGTGCTCTGCATGTGCAGAGTCTACCCCTCCTATGGCTTCTGGGTAAGTGAAGGAAACAAAGCCACTTTTTGTTTCTTTCAGGCCAAAATCCAGTCCGTAACAGAAGATGAAGCTATAAAGGTGGTATTTATTTTTACTCACAACATACATATCTTACAGACCAAATGACCCCTCTTCATGATTACCAGTGACATAAGAATGGAGCCAATTTTTATAATTGGCTGTTGTTGTCAAGAGAAGAACAGTGTTGGACTGAAAGGCTGGAGATGGTTCCAAGGCACAGTATTTAATCTGCATCTGGAATGTTGCCTTTTCTTGTTTTACTTGGGACTCCCTAATTGTTTTGTTTTGTTCTTTAAAAAAGTTTAATGCAGCTAGATGAAACAAGATGTTTAAAACAACTTCCTTTTCTTGTGAAATGCGTCCATCGAATCCTGAACTTACAGGCACTAGAAAAACAAGTAATTCCTTCCTTTTACAAGTGGAAAGCACAAGTCTTCCCTTATTTCTGACTGGCGGATTTCACCAAGGATACATACAACAAAACATACAATGTTTTTCTGATGTTGCACTTGCAAAATACATTCAGCACACTCTAGAGTACTTGCAAGATAGCCAAGGTTTTAATCTTTAAACAAAAATATGTCTGTTCTTTCCAGATTATTTGTGCCTTTTTTTTTTTTTTTTTTTACTTTGTTTAAGATAACAAATTTGTTCCCAAGAATAAAGCAGCACATGAGAAATGTGGCAGGAATCTTGGTGCAGTGCTACACAGACGTTCAGTGAAAGGCAGTCAGCATGGAGCTGGAATTAAGATTAGGATTCAGAAAAGGAAAGCTGATAGTAATTTTTAAGTGAATCACT